CTGACTGGTGTGAGGTGATACCTCATTGTAGTTTTGATTTACATTTCTCTGATAATTAGTGATATTGAACATTTTTTCATGTGCGATACAAAGATCTTAAGCATTGTCAACTGTGGTATCCTTGGGAAGGAGGGGATCCTGGAACCAATCCCCTGCGGATATTGAGGAACGAGTGTATATATCTCTACAGCATAAGAAATTGTAAATAAAATTAACAGTCCCATTATCACATGTAAAAATTAATAATTTCTTAGTAGTATCAAACATCCAGTGTTCAAATTTTCTTAAGATTTTTTCTTTTTTTTTTTTAGTGGTACTTTTTGGTTCAGGATCCAAACAAGTTTCACACACTGCAGTTGCTTTATAATTTCTCAAGTCTGTTTTGATTTGTAGGTCCCCCTTCATTCCTTTTCTTCTTCCAATTTTTGTTACTGTTGAAGAAACAGCATTGCTTGTCCTAAGGAGTTTCCCAAAGTTTGGGTTTTATTGATTACATCTCTAAGGTGTTGTTTAACATGTTCCTCTGACCTGCATGTTGGTAACTGGACGAAACTTGATCCTTTTTTTTTTTTCTGGCAAGACTGCTTTGTAGACAGTGGTGGGCTCCTGCATGCAGAGGCTCATGGTGTGTGACTGTCTTTCTGTGATGTGAGGCCCAGTGATGATTGTTGCCTTGATTCATTTATCTTTAGAAGTTGCAAAGTGATCATTTTCTTATTCTACTAATTATCCTTTATTTTTCAGCTGTACTACTTCTATAAAGAGAAAATTACCCTCATCTACTGTTTGATTATCATTTATATGGGGAAAATGGCATAAGTGCTTAATTCTTTCCCTTTGAAAGAATTTTGTCAAGTTTTAAAATAATGAGTTGGTTCCCTAGCCTCCCCCAAATGTGACTAAGTTATGGCGATTTTTTTTACTATCATTATAACTTAAGGATTATAAATAGTTTCAGTCTTTTGCCATTATTATTACTTAATTCTATTATTTAAATTGTGTCCAGTCTGATCAGTGGGAGACTATTCAAGTTAGCACCTGGGTCCTTTTGACCTGCCCTACTAGTCTTTGCTAGCTTTCTGGTTTTCAGGTGTGATCAGATGTTTTGTTTACAACTAGCACAGGCCTGAGTCCATTTGGATGATGTTTTACGTTATCAGACACCTGACTTTTCCCCAAAAAGCACTGTTTGAAAAAGCAAATATCTGTAACTTCCAGCTTGGCGGTAAGAGGAACTGTGGATTCAGCAGGATTTCCAGTTGCTCTCCTCATTGGCAAAGAGAAAACAAGTGCCCTCAATTAAGGGAAGTGAGATCACCCCATCGCAGCCTTGAGCAGCACCAAGCGATTTTCTGCGTGGCAAATTACACATGTCGGGCAGGGGGTCAAGTAGAGTTATAAATGCAGGCGTGGAAGGCATTGATCATTGATATAGATGAAGATGTATTTGGAAGCAGGCAGTTAGGTTTGTTCACTATTCCAAATCTGTAGGTTTAATTCTAAAGTAGTCCAAGATATAATCATAGATTATTCCATCTGGTAACTATATGTATTACAGAATTGTGATATTTCAGAGTAAGAGTTCAGGCTTGATTCAAGCCTTGACACCCTCGCAGAGTGAGCACAGACTCATTACAGTACCGGCGGTCATGGTGAGAGGGCGGTGTCTTCGGGAACTGCAGCGCAGACAGCAGAGGAGAGAGAGGACAGATGTGTGCTGTCCAGAGCCAGTGCTGCCACGGTGCTCTCTGGCCGTGCTGGAGATCCTCTTCCCAAACCCAGAAAGGCGAATTCCAGTGGAATTAGGCTCTTGGACAGTTTTTCAGGGCCAGCAAATATCTTTTATTCTTTATTTTGGTAAAGGGATAAAAAGGGCAGGTGGCTACACCGTCCCTTTGCTCTCTTCATTCATCATTTTCTTTTCAATGAATCTTTTTTTTAATTAAAAATGAGCGAATAATAAACATCAAGTGCATAGGATAGAAGTCCATAGGTGAGGCAGAGACAAGGCAGAGCTGTAGACAGGCAAATTGAATCTTCAAAGCATAACATTTTTTAGCAGCTTTCTCAATTTTTTAAAAATATTTTTTATTGATTTATAATCATTTTACAATGTTGTGTCAAATTTCAGTGTAGAGCACAATTTTTTAGTTATACATGAATGTATATATAATTCATTGTCATATTTTTTTCTCTGTGAGCTACCATAAGATTTTGTATATATTTCCCTGTGCTATACAGTATAATCTTGTTTATCTATTCTACATTTTGAAATCCCAGTCTATCCCTTCCCACCGCCCACTCCCTTGGCAACCACAAGTTTGTATTCTATGTCTATGAGTCTGTTTCTGTTCTGTATTTATGTTTTGCTTTGTTTTGTTTTGTTTTGTTTTGTTTTTTAGATTCCACATATGAGCGATCTCATATGGTATTTTTTTTTCTCTTTCTGGCTTACTTCACTTAGAATGACATTCTCCAGGAACATCCATGTTGCTGCAAATGGCATTATGGTGTCGGTTTTTGTGGCTGAATAGTATTCCATTGTATAAGTATACCACATCTTCTTTATCCAGTCATCTATTGATGGACATTCAGGCTGTTTCCATGTCTTGGCTATTGTAAATAGTGCTGCTGTGAACACTGGGGTGCAGGTGTCATTTTGAAGTAGGGTTCCTTCTGGATATATGCCCAGGAGCGGGATTCCTGGGTCGTATGGTAAGTCTATTCCTAGTCATTTGAGGAATCTCCATACTGTTTTCCACAGTGGCTGTACCAAACTGCATTCCTACCAGCAGTGTAGGAGGGTCCCCTTTTCTCCACAGCCTCTCCAGCATTTGTCATTTGTGGACTTTTGAATGATGGCCATTCTGACTGGTGTTTGATCAAACTCATTATAGTTTGATTTTCATTTCTCTGATAATTAGTGATATTGAACATTTTTTCATGTGCCTATTGAACATTTGTATTTCTTTCTTGGAG